TTCATCTGTATAATGGGATAAAATGATGCCCTCCTTACGAGATTATGAGGAGATTGTGTATCATAGAGCCAGGGACAGTTAACTCATTGTGTCTACCTGAATGCTTTCCTGAACCCCTGTACACCCAGAGCAGGTCTTTGATAAATAGGGGCTCCCAGTAATGATCTCAGGAAGTCTGTCAGAGTCCAGAATGGATTTACTAGAAGCCCTCTGGTGTGGTGGTAGTTTGAATCTATTTTCATCTGTAGGGATGGCTCCTTGGGTCAGTCTTGGAGTACAACTTCGTGCGGCTGCTTTAAGTTTTAAAACCCTGCCTTTTAAAGTGGCCTTTGCTTCTGGCACCTGTAATCCTAGCACTCTGGCGCCATGGTGGGTGGATTGCTTGAGCTCAGGAGTTGGAGACCAACCTAACCAAGAGCAAGACCCTGTCTAAAATAGCCGGGCGTTGTGTGAGGCGCCTGTAGTCCCAGCTACTCGGGAGGCTGAGGCAAGAGAATCGCTTGAGCCCGAGAGTTTGAGGTTGCTGCGAGCTGTGATGCCACAACAGTCTACTGAGGGTGACAAAGTGAAACACTGTCTCAAAATAAATAAATAAATAAATAAAAAGTGACCTTTGTCTCCCTTTACATTGCCCGCAGTAAATGACCACTAAGCTACAGTAACCTGAATCCTTTGCTTGGATGAAAACATGTCGTACATATCTTTCATTGTGAAACTACGTCCCTTTCTTAGTCTGTTGTTTCTCTTTGCATAATGCTATAAACATCATTTCCCTGTACATCGACCTTCTGATGAGTCCATATCTCTAAACCCATTTCAACTAATGCTGAAAGTCTTGAATGTTCTTTCCTCCATTTCCCTTTGTGTTGGTAGATCCAGACCGTCTCAGCTTGTTTGGCTTGTTTCCCTGGGCGAGCGCTGGGTTGAGCTCTCCTACCGAGGGTCTGCTCCAGGTGCGGCCTGTGCCCGGCTGGCGACTGTGCCCTCCATCTCTGGGATCCCACGAGCTGATTTTATGCAACGTTACGTTCTGTACTCTACTTCCTGTTACATGTTTTTGTGGTTTGAAACTGAATTTGTTTTCTCTGTGGTGCCTTTACCTCTTTTCCAAAAAAGAATTCACATCAAACATGGAGGGAAAGTGATGAGATCTACTAAGTGGTGGGGACACAGGACAAAAAATGTCAGACTCGACTAGTCTTCCTGTTAATTTAGTGTAAATGTCATGTGTGTTTTTAGTCAGTCATGTAATTTTCCCATTGCTGCAAACTGCCCTTTGAGGCTTATGAGATGATATAGGGATGCTGGGAAAATAAGAGACAGCAATTATCATTCAAATGAGGAGGCACTGACCATTCAGAAGCTTGTTAGCAGGTGAGAATTGAGTATTTGTGAAGAATTCTAAATTTTAACGTAATAGTTATAAACTCCATGGAGGAGGAAAGTGGTACTTAGGAATTCCAGTGCTGAGCACGGATGGGCACACTGGTGGTCAGTTCTTCACAGTAGAGGGTGGGTGTATCAACATTTGGGTTCTGACTATGCCCTAAGGGGCTTTTCCACCACATCAATATTCATGAGAATTGATAGAAAATAGCAATCACCTGCCTCCTAGAGAATCAGCTCTTTGGAAGATGTGGCCTTTACTGCTATTTAAATCCAAGGGCCCTGTCTACCGGCCCCTTCAAGAAGAACAGCTTGATCAGAGTGGAACTTGAAGCTGCTGCAGTGGTTTTGATGAACTGCTGAATGGTGTCTGGATTTGGGGTTTTTTGTCAGGAAAGGAGGGGCGCACTACACCAAAAGTCACCCCTAAAGCTGTCAGACACAGGGGAATGGGAAATTGTAGCTACATGTACTCTTATTTACAAAATAGTCACTGTGTAAGAGAAGAGCACGTGGGTTTTATGACACCTGCCTCAGCTTTGACGCCACTCATGTCCTGATGGTCTGCTGGGCTCCAGAGAGTTGAGTCTGTGAGTTAAACAACCTCCACGTAAGTGAGGTTTATGGCATCCGGACAGTTTGTTATACCACGTTCAAGGGGTCCTTAGGCCTTTTATAAAGCCTTGGAAGTTGATTAGGTCAATACATGGTCATAGGTGTCTTTGTCACTTGTTAGGGGGAATAAAGTTGGGGTACATAGACACCTGAGTGCCCTTCACAGCTAACTATGTCAGGACCAGATTCCAAAGGGCTCTTTCCAATCACCTCTGTCAACGCTAATGCCTTTAGAAGACCCAGGAGAGACCCACAGAGTCGAGGGAAAAGGATTTGAAATTCTAAAGACAAATAGTTCCCTTTTGAAAGGAAAACCTCTTTCTGTTCAGCTTGTAACAGCAGCAAGGGAGACTCAGGTTTCATCTGCATCCCTCCATTGCTATCCTAAGAGGAGACACTCAGAGCTGTGGTCTCTAAACGCTGCAAACTGGATGGGTTTCCGTGGTACTGTGTTGACACCACAAGTCCCGGGGGATGAGGCAGGCCCCTGGACCTCCCTGCAGCCCCAGCACCACTGTCAACTGGGCTAGCTCAGTCACTCCATGGCTGGCCAGTTGCTTTACTGGAAAACATGGCCCTGTTTCTCTGAAAAAGTGGTGGGAACAGTCACCCCTGCTACCCAACGTATTAATAGAACTATCACTTACTGGTACCTGATAAGTCTGAGGACATTCTAGACGCCATACATAATTCTTGTTTTATCTCCCTAGTGCAGGGAGGTGGTATCATAAATAACCTAAAATACACACAGTGCTCTTAGCACAGTGCCTGCCTGACTCCCTGTGGCATCTGGGGGGAGTCTGAGCTCCGTGGTGGGCGGCAGGGATTTCTATCACTTTCATTGACTGCTCCCTCACCAGAGCATAGTACACTGCCTGGCACATTTATTGAGCAGCTACTCAGTAAATATTTGTTGAGCAAATAATAAATGTCAGTTGTCATATATATATATATATATGTGCGTATTTATATATACAGGGTGCCCATAAACTTTGTGTGCAGTTTACTAGGTTAAACTATTTTAAATTGCACACAAACTATGGACACCCTGCGTATATCCCCATCTCTACAGAGCAGCAAACTAAAGTTGAGGGGTTTGGTAATGTAGCTAGCTCACAGCAGGAAGTGAGGGGCAGAGCCTGGTGGGAATTAGTGGGCGCCTGTTGGAGGGGCCCTGAGTGGCGCAGCTCTTGGGTGTCTGATGGTGTAAACTGGCTGGTGGGGAGACCACCTTGCCTGTGCAGTGGAGCCCATCGCTGACTGGGCAACAATAGCAGGCCTGGCCCCCTTCCCCCAGGCTTTTTTGAGACTTGTCAGCTGTGAGAGCTAATTAGCACAGCCTCCATTTCTACAACGTGGTAACCCTTCCAGGGATGGTTCACCCCAGCGCTTTGGCAAGTGCCCAGCCTGCCTTCTTTGACAGACCTGCACTCTGGCTCCCTGGATTGTGTGGAAATTTAAAATCCATAAAGTCTAACTGGAAACTTGCTAGGAGGGTAAATCCTAAATGTTCTTTCCAGCAAATTTTTTTAAAAAAGATTTTAACCATGTGAGATAATGGATATGTTAGTTAGCTTGATTGTGGTGACTATTTTATATCAAATCATCAGGTGCCTTAAATACAGTAGAACCTCTTTAAGTTGACTCCACAAGGGCTTATACCGGTCAACACGCAGAGGTGGTCAACATAAGTCACTAGGCCTCTGACTGATGTGTACATATGGTGCATGTCTGGTCTGTGAAAATTAGGTCAATTTAAGGTGATGGTCAGTGTGGGGAGGTGGTTAGCTATGGAGATTCTACCGTACTTGTATATAATTAAACATTTTTAGAAATCAAGTCCATATAATTGAAAAGAAATATGATTGAAAGTAATTTCAATTAATTAAAACTAATATAGTGGTTATGGTAGTGAAATCACATATCCTTTGGGAGAGAGTGGTGCCTTGCAAGCCAATATAATTTGATGACATATAAATGTCAATGGATTCCTCTCCTTGGATTTTCACAGAAAAGACATCATGTGATTCTTTTTCCTCCAGTTTTTCGGTAACTAATGAGGTTTGCTGCTTTTCAGATTTAATTTGGAAGTTTTTTTTTTGTCTGTCACCTGTACATAAACCTCTAGGCAGTGAGGTAATGACATCAAAAGAGACCCATAGAAGCACAAGTTACAAATTTACAAAAATCATATTTATATTTACATTTGGGGTTCTGGGTAAATGGGTGCCATATTTTCAAATAGAATTATGATGAGAAGAAATACCACATTTCCCTCCAGTTCCAGGGTGAGAGCACATAAATCTTAGTTATAGAAGAATACACATGGCCGTAAAGAAAATTGTTGTACTCTTTAAAGCAAAGAAACATCCCTGTTCTATTCACCTAAATAAAACATATTATTTCCCACTTGAATCAGGATAATCACATTTGTAAGAAATCAGGAAAATGATTCTCAAGGTTCTTTTATCCTTTGTGTTGGCTATTGATTTTTGCTTGTTTGTAGAATAATAGGGGCTTTGGGAGATAAATATTATATATCTGTCGTAGGCAAGACTGTATCAAGTCGTCCTCCAAAAGATGGCTTACTCGCCTTTAGAATATCTTAAGCAATGAAAGCCTCTGTGAGGCTCTGATACAGTGGATTGTTTACTGGGGAAGTTTTCCATTATATCTAACCTGACATCTTTCTCTTCCAGTCTTGTTCAGAAAAACATAAAGAGCTAAGACTTCTGAGTTTAGAAAGAGGATTTTGTGATATAGATTTCCCCCTGGGAGGTTGAATGGATATTGATATTGATAGTAGCTTTTAGGGCACTGGGTGTCAAAAATGATCAGCCATTTTTCCATCTGTGCTTTAAAGAAATGAAGAAGAAGGGCCACAGAATGGGTTGTGACTCCCTCCAAGGCTGCCAGGATGGGAATACTTTGTAGATAGATTTGAACTCTTAGGGCTGTGGGAATGATTTTTCAATTTATTTCTAATTGCTTTTTTTTAGGTACACTTTGATCAATTCAAAGAAGCATTAATACTTATCTTGTCTAGAACTCTATCAAATGAAGAACACTTTCAAGAACCAGGTAAGGGCATTAACTTTTCTTCTCTGTGTTGCCCATTAAAAGTTGTCCTGGGCTCGGCGCCTGTAGCTCAGGCAGCTAAAGTGCCAGCCACATACACCGAGCTGGCGGGTTTGAATCCAGCCCAGGGCTGCCAAACAGCTACAACCAAAAAAATAGCCGGGCATTGTGGCAGTGCCTGTAATCCCAGCTACTTGGCAGGCTGAGGCAAGAGATTCGCTTAAGCCTAGGAGTTGGAGGTTGCTGTGAGCTGTGATGTCATGGCACTCTACCCAGGGTGACAGCTTGAGGCTGTGTCTCAAAAAAAAAAAAAAGAGTTGTCCTGGGAAGAATTTGGGGACCTTGAAACATGTCTGTGAGGGATTTGGGTGGGACATTTACCCTTCACAGATTGAACAGTTATTTTCAGTGACTTCACTTCAATAATGTCTTAAAAGCTTTGCAGCTGTTGAACACTAAAATGAGACTTCTGTACTACAGCATTTTCATGTGGAAAAAAATAATTGGATTATTCCTGGGCACTGGGTCAGATGGTGGGGCAATAACTCATTCTTGGAATGAGCAGAGTGAAGCTGGATGGTCACTGCCTTTATCCTGCATTCATTTCCTGTGTATGTGAAAGGATATGATTTGGGGGAAATATTTCCTAAAAGTAGAAGGGAAGCCAATCCAGCAGGAATTTAGCTTGGTCCTAGAGAATGGCTGACCCCTGTTACACGTGTGACACTTGCTTATCTGTTTCCTCCTCACAGGGGATAGTTTTTTTGAGGACATGTTCATTTTTTTTTCCTTTTTTGTATTTCCAGTACCTAGAAAAATATAGTAAGTATACAATGAATGGTATAAAAGACTTAGTATTGTACTTCATTGACTTTAAAGTGCCATCAATTATAAGACACATTGTCATTTTATGTATTTCTAAAAGCAAAAATTGTTGCCAATTGTAAGTATAAAATGCTATGGTTGTAAAACAAATTCTAATTTCAGAGTGTTCAAATCTGGTGTGGAGGTGTGGGTATCTTAGAATCAGTGAAACCTGGTGAATGTTTACGGGGAAGCCCAAACAGCGTGGAAATTTGTATTACAGTACAGCCCGGTTTTATTAGATCGGGGGTTTTCAGGGGCTGGGGCAGGGCTGACTGTAAAGCATGATGAGTTCTCAGGATGCTGAAACTTGTATCTTAATGGTGTGGTAGTTAACTGATTGTATGAGTTTTTCCAGCCCATAGAATTATGCACAAAAAGGGCAAACTATACTCTATGTAAATTATGCCTCAGTAAACCTGACTTTAAACAGAGAACATCATAAACATAGTCTGGTTTTGAGACTGAGACAGGATCTTTAACATTTTGTGGCTACGTGGAGTCATTCAGTGTGACCTATTTAGTTAGCTGAGGCACAGATGGGACCTCATTTCTTCCTCTTGCTGGGTGATCCAGTTCTCCATTAACATTCTGCGATGCTCTGGATTTGTCTGGGGTGTGCAAGGGCTGCCTCCAGCAGTGTTTTGGATTCTGGACCACATCTCCCTCTTTTTTCCAATGGTGACACCCCTAGCCGAATTATTCTCAATTCTGAGGCTTGCGGAGCTCTTTAGAAGCTTCCAGTGAGCCTGGGAGGGGGGTTATTACGTTCTTGAGATTCTCTAGATGAATAATAAAATTTCTGTGGGTGACCACTACTGGAATATGGACTTTTGTTACTTATGGGATCTCACATTTTATTGGTATTTTACCTTTTTAAGGCTATCTGTCATCTTGATAACAGTTGTGGAAGATCTAGGGATCCTGAATAGAGCTGTGGCGATGTCACTGCTGGGTAGATTGTAGTTAATATGAGCACAGGCAAGATACTCATAGATTCGGTGTTCTTCTGTGTGCTGAGACTGCTAATGTGCTCTTATGTGGATTTGGAATGGGCGGCCGTGCCACGAGTGCACGTGATCCTTCTGCTGTCTTTTCTTCAAAACCTGTCCTGACGTTGACCAGAAAATTGTCATACAGGTTTATGTGACTGCAAATGGGAAGTGCGCCCCCTAGAGTAGTGCGGTGTTAGGATCTAAGCAACAGGAAGAGCTGGACAACAGCTGGTTGACTTGGCTACAGCCAGGGAGTGAAGTTGCGTGAGTCTGGCTCCAACGGCGATTTCATAGTACGTGTGTGCCTCGCTGCTGTGGGAGCAGAGATTGTTGGTGTACAAGTCTTCCGGGACAACACACAGGAGGGATTGTTACACCTCTGCTTTGTGCCGCACCTGTGGGTGGGCTGCAGCAGATCCTGGTTACAGAACTGTGCGGTCAGCGTAATGCAGCAGCAAGACGTTTAGCACCAGCATCTCTGGGACTCCCTGACAGTTGTCCCAGCAGGACTGAGCCTGTGCCTTAAGCGCGTTTTATCTAATATGAATCAGCCCTCCCGCCCACACACATTCTCTGCTTCGTTCCTGGGCACCTCTGCTTGTTTTGTCTTTTGCCCATCTCTCCCCGGCCCTTCCAGTTGTTTGTGGGGATCATGCAATTCTTTGCACTCAAGTGATCTTCCACCCACTCTACAACATGCCTCTGCCCCCGCAGACTGGCTGGTTTGGGGCAGAGAGAGAGAAAACGGGGTTGGGATTTGAATGCAGTATGTGAGGCGGTCACCTGAGTTCATCTCTCCCACTGCTGTCCCTTAAGTCTTATGCCACCGCATTTGAGGGCTGGAGAGAACGCTGCTATTTTATCACTGAGCAAACTGAGACCCAGTGAGGGCTGTCGCTTAACTGAAGTCTCATGGACACGGCAGAGGAGGACGGGTGGGGGCCAGGAAGGCTTCGTTTGAAGGATTTTAGCCTTCACGTGGACAAGCCGGTCCTGAGCCGGTGCAGCCTGGCTGGAAGGGTCTGACAAGTGGCCAGAGGCAGCAAGGAGGAAAGAATGGAAACAAGTTTGGCCTCGTGGTTGGTGGCGGAGCCTGTGTCATCTGCGTCACTCTGCTGCTCAGTACTTAGTTCGTCTTTTGTTATAAAGGGCCAAGTTTGTGGTATTTTTGTCTTGCCTTTTAAGATCAAAGGACCTGGTAGACTGTGAGAAGCAAAGTTATCTTTAAACCATGGAAGGAGACTGAAAAAGACAGGCATGCCAGGGTCCTGAGATGGCATTTTATAACAATGAAAATCGTTCTAAGTTAAAACATCAGACACTGTAGCAGACTAATCTAGGAAAGTCAGCTTGATAATGGGAAGACTGGGGTGAGGGCCTGGGAAATACGGCCCTGCCCCTCTAACTGGGTGACCTTGCCCATCCCAGCCTTGGTCGTGTCCAGTCGCCTCAGATGTAGAACTGGGTACTAGAAAATGCTTAACATTCCTTCCCGAAGGAGATTCAACTGATGGTCTCCTGGTAGCTAAATGACTTTGTCTATTGTCTCCGAAAAAAGCTGGCCTTGTGTTTCTGTAAGATTCTATCTAACATAAACGGATGCTATGAAGTTCTTCCTACGGACAAATGCCCAGTATATGTCATGCTTCTAGAGTCTTCGAATAAAAAGCAGTTGTATATCAATTAAACAGAAACAAGACTCTGATGGGATTTGAGAAAAGATGAAATTAAGTCATTATTTCCATAGTCTTGGGCTCTGCCATTTATTACTTCTTGGAGGCAGAGTTTATTTTTAGGGGCCGGGGGCATAGCTTAAATTATTTCCAGCATCTTGTTAACTCTGACATTTACGAGTCTAAAATATGGCATTTTCCCCCTAAAAAGCAATAGTAACAACAACAACACAATAAGAAAAATACTGGAATTCAGATAAAGGCAGAAAAATGGGTTTGGAAGTAGGGAGTCCTTTGTAAACTCCAAACTGATTAACATTCCCAGAGGCGTAACTCTCTCATATCTATTATCTACCATTTAATTTTAAAATTATTTTCCTGGAATAAGAGAGGGGCAACAACTTAGCTATTTATTCGATTTGCCACAGCTTTGGATTATAGGATTTTTGAAATGGAAATACCAGCATGGGCTCTGAGCCACGTGGCACCAGCATGCCAGCCAGCTCTGCTCCCCAGAGACTGAGCTCGTGTGCGGCATATTGCATTAGGTTTCTGTCCTATAGTGATGTTAGCATGATGCAGGAAGACCTCATTTCCCTGATGTAATTCACTGAAAATGTCATTCCTTTGTTTATGGGTGGGGAAAATCTCAGGTTTAGAAAATCCAAGTCATAAGAAAAAATTAGGCATTGCTCTGGTAGAGATGTCGATGATGACAATGACGATTTTGCTAACAGAGCCTCCTTCTCCTAATTTCAGGAACTGCCCGAATTGTAATTATTTTCCTTGTATGTTGAAGAAGCCATGACTATAATTAACAGATATCTTTTCATTTACTCAGCAAATGAGCATTGCAACAGGTCCTGTGGCCCAGCATTCGCCTGGATCGTGATTTGTGGTGATTGAAGATTCTTGTTTGTAACTACATTAGAGGCCTTGGGCCAGGTGCTGAAGTCCAACTGAGGTCCCTGTTTTTAGACAGTCTTAGACACAGATGGCCCAAGAGGCTTATATTGCTGTCCTCTCTCTGGTTATGTAAGAGCTCAGTCTCTAACCCCTTGGTGTCAGTGACATGCTAACAGTAAGGACCAGAAGTTTCCTCCAAAAGTTAAAGCAGAACAAACCACTGCTGCAACCAGCAACACTGGCACCAACAAAGATGGGGTCAAGAGTGTGTCTAAGACCAGGAGAGACCGGATCACACCTGCCACCAGCCATGTCAGATGATAGGGCCTTTCTGGAATTACGCAAGATGATAGCACTAGGACGGTAAGGCCTTTAGCTGACCAAGGCCACCCTGAGGGTTTATGGATGTGGATAATCACAAATGTACACAAAGATGTCTGTAAAGGATACTCTTTTAAAAGTCAAATACACATACACACATAAATTAAATACCCTAATCCAAAAATTAAAAGTCCAAAATGCTCCAAAATCTGAATCTTTTTGCATGCCAGCATGGTGTTCCCAGCAATTTTTGGATTTTCAGATTTGGGATGCTCAACTGGTATAACTCAAATATTCTAAATCCAA